TGTCTGACAAAGGAGAAGACCTGCCTCTGCCACCAGCTGGGGGAAGCAGTAAAGACATCATGGGACCCATGGGACCAGTTAAGATAACAATCTCAAGTTGTTACCAAAGCTAGCAGAATAAGAGTTTTCCCTGAGAAAAATACCCTCAATGAACCAATCCAAAGGTCTAAGAATGGGAGGTAGTGAAAAACCTTAATGTGCCCTCCATTGTCCTAGAGTAATTGTGAAGTATTCGGCCACAAGAAAGAAGTTATCTGTATTTGAGAGAAGAGTAGCTAGGGTTGAGTGGAGGGCAGGGCTGGAGAGAAACTACAGGTTAGAAAAGCGTGGTGTAACAAGACTGGGAGCAAAAGGAGGAAGTGCAGGAGTGTGAAAGATGGCTACTCATGTTGCACACGGGAGAGAAGAGAAAAAAAAGATGTTGAGGGAAAAGTAACTTTGAAGACTCTAGGGATGAGCAGGATGACAGTATCTAGAACATTGTGGCATAAGGGGTCACTTTGATATATATTTCAATTTGTTTAGAGAAATACTGGTTGGGCTTGAAGAACTAAGACCTGGTTATGATCACTATAGAGGTAAAAGTAAAAAAAAAAAAAGTTCAGGAGGGGTGGTGAGCACAAGGGCATAAGTTCCTGAAGGCCTGTTTCAGGGTGATGAAACCTCTGAGTGTGTCTGGAGTGGAAACCAGGTGACCATGAGATCATCTTTTGATGGAGAAAGGTCATTGGTTAAATAAAAAGAAACTGCTTGGCCCTCATTGGTTAGAAAATAGGTGGGAGGAGTAAACAGAACAGAACGCTGGGAGGAAGAGGAAGTGAGCTCAGACTCCACAGCTCTCCTCTCGGGAGCAGACGCCTCCGAGAGAGATGCCATGCTCCTGGCTCCTGGGCAGACACACGCGATGAAGCTCCGACCCAGGATGGACGTAGGCTAGAATCTTCCCGGTAAGCGCACCTAGCTGTGCTACATAGAATATTAGAAATAGGCTAGTCCAGGTGTGAGAGTTAGCTTAGAAGAGGCTAGATAAAAATGGGCCAAGCAGTGTTTAAATGAATACAGTTTGTGTGTTGTTATTTCGAGCATAAGCTAGCAGGCGGCTGGGGTATTGGGGACTCAGCCCCGCCGCTCCTATTACTACAATCTTTGGTTGCAACATAGAATATTTGGGACAGACGCACAATGCTGGAGACCTGCAGCAGGAAGTAGTCTCTGAGACTTCAGACTACAAGAAGGACAGTCTTAGGAACTGGTATCGAGTCCAAAACAAGTCTACTATGTGATGCACTAGAATGTTGTGAGAAGACAGGAGTATTTGGGAGTACAAAGAGAGAGTGTGGACACGAGAGAGGAGAGAAGAAAGAAGTGGGACTGAGTGCCCTTGAAGAACTTTTCCCAAATGCTAGGAGCCATTGCAGAATAACTGTGCAGAACAGGTAAGTCTCTGAGAGAAGTTAGACTTGGGGATGGTCCAAGTGAAAGGAAAAAAGTTCCAAGATTTGGCTAGAGGATAATGGTGAAGAAGGCAACTTTGAGTCCAAGAATGAAAAAGGAATTAATGCCTGGGGGGGTTCTGTGAGAAAATAATGGAAGGGCTGGGTGGTGGTGGCATACCCCTTTCATTTCAGCACTCTGGAGGAAGAGACAGTTAGATCTCTGTGAGTTCAAGGCCAGGCTGCTCTACAGAGTGAGTTCCAGGACAGACAGGACTGTTTCACAGAGAAACCCTGTCTATAAAAACAAAAACAAAATAAGAAGGAAAAGAAAAGATAGAAATTTGGAGAATACGTGAGTAGATAGGTACTGTCAAAATGTCTTGAACAAGGTGATAGCAACATTAGATTTGAAACAGTGATGATGGCCATGTTGCAGTTGGGGGAGTTTGTGGGCATTAGGATATTCATAAGGAGGTAAGAAGTGATGGGTTTAAGTCCCTCCCTCCTGGCAGAGGAAAACGGATGCTTCAGTATTGAGATAAATCAAGAAGGAAGTCTGAGAGAAATGAGCTCCAGGTGATGGTGTTGCTCAAATGTCAGGTGGCCTGTGTCCTATATAATAGGGCTGATTTTAGAGACAAAAACAGGATTGAGGGATGTGAGGGAGTCACCCTCAGGTGCCGTCTAACACAGAAGGATAAATTGAAGATAATTTGATAGTCAAGAAATGCATAGTACTGATGCAAGTTTATGAAGCAAGCCCCCTCCTAATAGAGGAAATTGACAGTGGGGTAAGATGAGAAATGAGTTCATAGGACTTACGTTATAGAAGGAAAAAATGAATAGGGGTATGAAATGTGGAATCTCGGCTTGGGCTTTCATGCTGGTGACAGAAAGAATGCTCTTGTGGCTAGGAGGGCAGTGTAGAGGAGTTAGACAACAGAAGCATTCTCCACTTTATTACCTTGTGCCAACCCTCAGAGAGCAAGGCACTGGGCTCAAGAGCAACTGGTTGAGCTACCAGATGGGAGATGGTTTGGGAGGAAGAATCAGCAGAAGCTCTAAAGGTGGAATCTCCAAGGGAGAATGAAGGGGGTAGACTCTTTCAAGAGAAATTGGGTAGGGGAAAAGGACTGACACAGGAAAAGCCACTGAGGAGGCAGAAAGATTGTACATTGAGAGCTTCCTGCCTCTTTCTGGTTCTCATCCTAAGTGATCAAGGTCCCTGAAAATTTACCAAGTCAGATGGCCTTTCATCACAGAAAGATGTTGTCCAATTTACATTGGTACCAGGCCATTTCCTGGGGCAGATTTCACTCCTAAGACCCAATTGAGAGAGGTTAGACAAAAGATACCTTAAAGGGGATGGTGAAAGTATTTGGAGAAAATTTGGAAACCTATGGTGGTGAGGAGAGCCCAGGATGTTCTGAAGACACTGGAAAATTGTGCCTGTTAAGATGTCACTTACCAATAAGAAGCTTGAGAATCAAGAATTGGATTAGATTTGTAACTGCCTAGTCAATTATTCTCCATATATTAATGATTTCCCACCTTCTTCCTCTGAACTATCCACATCAGCAATGACAGTAACAGCACAGAGTACATGCTGCAGCAGGAGTGGATGTGTGATGGGGCATCAGGTGTGGTGAGGATTCCTGTAATGGGAGCAGTTACATGCATAGCTTTTAAGAATATTGTCTACACCAGCATCCCTTTAAAAATATTATTAATAATCATTAAATTTCTTTGCATATAGTTCAGAGGGTCTTCATATCTTGTCTGAGATCTCCTTTGTGAGTGACCAACTTGCCCAAGACCATGCACTTTGTAGCACTATACTTAGCTTACCAAGGATGTGAAACAAAACATTCCATTCGACAAACACTGAGATTTTCACCTGATCCAGATTTACTTCTTAATAGAGAATACGAATGAAATAACAATAAGGAAATATTTTAATATTTAAGAAATTTTTAAAATAATAAATTGAATAAGTGGGAATTATTGTTCTAACAATGATTTAATGGAAAAGGTCCCTTTGGTCCTTTGTTTGTTCTGGATAACTTTTAGTTAGGTCTCATATGTTTATCAAATAGCATATTTTTAGTGTTGAATTTTGAAGATAAACCAGGAATCTTAAAACACTAAGAGATTATGTTTCTGGCAAAAATATATTTGTCTTCTTATTTTGTTTTGTCCCATGAGTGACACAAATTGAGCCTTTTTGTCCTTCCTTTTGGGGGAAGGGATGGTACCAGGAGAGGGGGAAACCTGAGAGGACTGGGAAGTAAGTGTAATCAGGGTGCCTGATGTGAAATTTCTAAATAATCAACAAAAATATAAGAAAAATAAATAAATAAATTTTTAAAATGTAATTAAGAAGCCACCAATTTGCTTTAAGCAATTGCAGTAATAGCCAAAACACTGTTGTCTTTTATTTCATAAAATAAAGGAATTTTGGTGAACTCATGGGGAAAAATAAAAAAAATTAGAAAAAGATGTCACTTACCTATAAGACATTGCCTACAAGCGTCAGAAAAAAATAAATGATGGCTGTTACATAGAGACACCCTGTCTCAAAAAAAATAATTGTAAATAACTCAAAGAATGATGACATATAAGTATCTGTAATATAACTTTTAGCTACTATGCAAAGGTGTTTGAGATATTCAAATTTGTGGTATAGAAGTGCAGCATTGCATGTATAGTTCTAAGCTATTATTTATACTAGGTCATTTCCTAAAAACTGTACACTTTTTTAGTTTTTGAGATTTCTTTATTTTCATTTTATGTGTATGAGTGTTTTACCTGCATGGATGTCTGTGCAACATGTAAGTGCAGTGGTCATGGGTGTCAGTAGTGAGCATAGCATCAGATGCCCTGGAACTGGAGCTAACCAATGATTGTGAGTCATCATGTGGGAGCTGGGAATGAAGCCTAGATCCTCTGGAAAATCAGTGAGTTTTGTTTCCCACTAAGCCATCCCTCTAGGCCCCTAGTTCACTTTTGTAATTATTTCTTTTCTTTTGAGATTATACTATAACTACGTCATTCCCCCTATCCTTCCCTCCCTCCAAACTATCCTATATACCCTCCTAGCTCTCTTACAGGCCGCTTTCTCAATGACACTTGTTACACATATATGTCTGTATATTCACTTTAATATAATTGGAAGTAAACCCTAAAATAAAAATTCTTTTCGTTTTATTAGGTAATATTACTGCAAGAAATTATTTTATGATGCAGAGAAAAACTTTAGGCAATACAACCGTGCTAAGTAAGAGAACACTAGCAGAAATCTGATAGCTCATTTTCATTCATAGTGAGCTTGCAAACATTTTTAGAAGACATAATTTACTAGTCCTCATGATGTTCTTTAATGAAATTCCATTGGTTGAAATTAATTTCCAGTGATTCTTCAATACTTTGGCAATGGGTTTTGTGAATATGCAACAATATCCTTTCAAAGTGGCTATTGTTGAAGCTCAGTGCTGATTTTCACTATGCAAAGTTAACTGGGTTCTGTAATGGACTTTGTTTAAAATTCATTAATAATTCTCACAGGACCAGCAGACGTACCTCTGATAGCACCAACCGGTAATTTGCCACCAATATACCTTCCTCCTGGTTACATATCTCAGGTATGCTAATGTGTTTTTTTCTTTGGCATCTAGCTCTTTATTACAATCTAATACTTTTACTATGCCAGTGTGTGATAACAGATTTACAGAAATATGTATTTATTTACTTTACTGCTGTCATTTCTTTCAATTTTTCTTTTATATAAATCTTTAACTGTAATTATTTCAAGTGATTGGCTTTAACCAAGCCTCCTTTAGATTACCTCATAAGCAACACCTCATTGTTTACTGAATTTATATCAAGGAATATTTAATAATATTCCCTTGATTTGTAGAGTTTCTTAATTGACCTTAAGTACCCTTATAATTCTCACAGTAATGGCTTCTGAAAACATATAATCTTTAGTCCTTAAAATCTCATAGAATTTTCAACTCAGTAGTGTTTCATTCTTAAAGGCCTAAAAAACACTTATATGAAATTCCTCAAATATTTACTGTGCACCTAAAATGAGCAGACAGATAACACTCATACTGAGATTAACAAAATATCCAATGGCCTTGAAAATGTAGACTTGAAAAATATCTTGTTTTTCTTCTTCTTTGTCTTCATAGCTTATTTAGTTGTATATATTAGTGGTATAGATGAAGAACACACCAAACAAGTCAGTGTAATGTACATAAATTCTAAACAAAATTACTTGTAAGAAAACATGAGTATACCTGTACCTGCACTCAGCAATTTCACTTTAAATTATTTAATAAGTAAAATATTTTTGTGCTGGATTTTTGGTTTTTAAACTGTTTTAAATATCTACACTTTTATTTGCTCCTCTTCCATCCCCTTCTACCCTTTCCCATGATCCCCATACTCCCATTTTACTCAGTATATTTTGTATTTTTCTTAGTAAGTAAATCCTTTAATTTATCACTTGGATATATTTTTACAAAGTTGAAATGATTTATTAACCACATATAAAATATTGCTTACACTGCTGTTTATAATCAAAAAGAGGTTTGAAAATAAATGTGATGCATAAAAATGGGTGACTGTATTACATATGTACATAATGAAACATTTAAAAAATAAACAAAAAGTAGGCAAATGTTAGTGGGTCTGGTGATGCACACCTTTAATCCTAGCACTCAGGAGGCAGACACAGGCAAATCTCCATGAGTTATAAACCAGCCTAGAATACATAGTGAAGTCCAACACAGAAGGAACTACATAGTGAGACTATGTCTCAAAGCAGGGGATATAATTATAAACCTACACAGAAAAGCCTTCAAAGTTATCTTACTAAATAAAAATGTGTTTGTGGAGACTGCTTGATCATTTTCTAGCCACTCATACCCAAAATAATCACATAGAATCTATATCAATTACAACACTGCTTGGCCAATATCTTTGACTTATTGTTAGCTAACTCTTAACATCTTACATTAACCTATAATTCTTGTCTGTGTTAGCCATGTGGCTTGGTACCTTTTATCAGCAAGGCATTCTCATCTTGCTTCCTCTGCATCTAGGTGATGACTGAAGACTGAGCCTTTCCTCTTCCCAGACTTCTACGATTGTGGTCACCTCATTGATACTTCCTACCTAGCTACTGACCAATCAGCATTTTATTAAACCAATACAAGTGACAAATCTTTACAGGGTACAAGACCATTGTCCCACACTAAAAATGGAAAGTACAAAATAGGTATAATGCTACTGTGATATAAGAAAAAGAAAAAAGCAAATTTTAGAAGTGTTCTTAAGAAATTCACAATAGTTTCCAGTTGTAAAGCATTGAGAAAGTGAGGATTAGGAACGGTACTTTTAAATTATGTGGTACACTTTAAGGTTTTGAAGTGTGCCAGAAATTACTTCCTTTAAACAGAAAGAGACTTACATCCAAGTATGGTGGTGCACACCTTTAATCTTAATACTCAGGAGGCAGTGGGAGGTGGATTTCCGTGTTTAAAGTCAACCTGGTCTATGCAGTGAGTTCCAGAAACTTCATAATGAGCTCCTGTCTCAAAAGAAGGCAAGATACATGTGGAAAAAAATGATCTTGCCTTCTAGATTATTGATCCTTGATGTTATAGCTAGCCAAATTAACAGGATATGGTATAAATCTGAAATGTAATGATTTCTATGGAACTTAATATGATTCTGTCTTGTGTTTTAGGTGGTGGATGAAAACGGAATTCAAAAAATCATCGTTGTGCCTCAGACACTTGACTACCACATGCCCCTGACTGCTCCTGTGCAGCAGCTCTCACCCTTCATAGCACCGCCACCGCTGACATTCCCTCAGGCCTCTCAGCTTATGTATCCCCCAATTCACGGGGAATTCCCAATACCTTACTTCCAAGAAGCTGCTCCGCAGCAGATGCCACCACCTCTAGCACTACCACCACCACCGCTGCGACCACCACCAGCAACATTTATATACCAGGAGCATCATGGTAATATGTGCTTTCCTTCTTTTGAAATTTTGTTTCTTTTTATATGTACAAAGGGTCTACCTGAAGCCTGTGCACTGCGTGTGTATAGTTCCTGCCAACCCAGTAGAGGGCATCATAAGTCCCGGGACTGGACTTAACAGGCACTTGTTAGCTACTGTATGGGGGCTGAGAACTGAATCCAGATCACCAGTGCTCTTAAACTTTGTGCCATCTCTCCCTAGTATGCACTCTTCTTAAATGCAAAGCATTGTCATTAAGTTACAAACACAGATGTGACATGGAAGTAGAAATTAAACTGTCTAGGAATTGAGAATATTGTTGAATTATTAGAGTACTTGCCTAGTATGCATAAAGCCCTGGATGTGATCTCGAGTACCACATAAAACCAGACATGGTGCTGTATATATATATTGCCAGCATCCTGGAGGTGGAAGCAGGAGGATTAGAAGTTAAAGGTCATTTTTTGCTGGAGTTTGAGGCCTGCCTAGGAAATGTGATTTTTGTCTCAAGAACTTGAAGAGGCAGAGGGGCAGAAGGAGGTGTAAGAAGAAGAAGGAGTATCTCAAAAAATAGAGAAGAGCAGGAGTGGGAGGGGAAAGAAATGGGAAGGTAGAGGTAAATAAGGGCAAAGAACATCATAAACTGGTATTAAAATACTTTTTGTGAAACCCATCACTACAAAATAATGAATAGGTGCCATTAGAAACAGAAAATTTTATAAAAGTGGAAAAATATGAAAGAGTTTTGGTTTGTTAAAAGCAAACAGATTTGAACAGTTATTAAAGTGGAAAAAAGTAGAAGATAATAGCATTTCCTTGAATGATTATATAGCATGCATATATCTTAGGGCTAATGATAGGTTATGCACAAAATGCTTATAATGCCTAAAGTTTATGTCTTATGGAATATACTCATGAAACTGTATTTTATTAGCTTTTCTTGGTTTTTATATAGCATGGATTTGTGGCACATATTTTTCTATAAATTCAGATTGGAAAATGATTAAAAAACCTTGACTATTAATGCTAACTGTTAGGAATATAAAATGCACTGGAGAATTGTTGTCATCACGGTCATAAGACCTCAGGATTTAAAAGTAAATTTATTATCTAGGAAAATATTGTATTTGCCCATATTTTCCATACCTATCAGTATATCATAAAAACATATACATAGAACATATACATAAAATTGAATATTCGGATTGAAGAAAGTAAAAAAATTAAGTAAAGCATAATTTATCAGTATTCTTTTGATTTTAAGTGGAAAAAGGAACTTGAAAGAATATGGTTATTATGATTACTGAATATTATCACGTTATCTTTTTTAGAAACCTATACTCATGGAAGAGTAAATCATAACCAGTTTCATGAGAGGACTGTTAAAATGGGAGAATATTCAAAGAAGAAAATGAGAGATCATCAATTTGGTGAACAGAAGACTAGCTCCATGTTTAATGACACTTCTTTGCTTCTGAACAAAGTCATTGACATGTCCGGTACTTTTAGTTCTCTTTGTCCTTACACTGTGGTGGATACTCCTCCAGGCATTAACACTGATAACAATACTTCAAGCACTTGCTCTCTGAATGCTGTCTTAAGCACTTGCACCATTGACAATACTCCAAAAACCTACATTGCCGACACTCTTCCAGACATTAACACTACTGACACAATCACTAGTTCCTCTGAACATACCCCTAGCACTTCTACCTCAAACGCTACTCTTTGCTCTGACATCATTAATAGTGCTCCAGGTCCTTCCAGAATTGCTCAGGATCCAGTCACCTCTGATGGAACTCAAAAGTCATCAAATACCGAGAGTACTCCAAGCTATATTTCTGAGAGTGATCGCAACATTTTCATCTCTGAAAACACTCATCTCCCCTCTTCAATTAATAATGTGTTCAGACCTTCTGGTGCTGCCAGCATTTCCAATAATACCAGGGCTTATACTGAAGATAATCATGGAACGAGAGAGAATAATGTGGAAGGTGAAGACAATAAGCAGATATCAGGTGGAAAACAAAGGAAGAATGAGTCGACAAATGCCATACTACAAGGTAAACCCAGGAATCCGGTTTTGTTGCCAACGAGCAATCAAACCAACTATTTTGGACTCTCAATGCATTTTTAAATAAATTTCTACTTTATATCATTATTTATTTAGTCTGTGTTTGTATGTGAATAAGGCATTTCCGAGGGAAACTTGTGGGAGTTTATTTTCTCATTTCAACACTGCAGGTCCCTGGATCAAACTCAGGTCATACTGCTTTATGGAAAGTACCATTATTCTCCAATATCACCTCAACAGCCCACATTAAATATTAATGTGCTATTCTCTGCTTTTGCTTACTCTTAACCACATTATACTTGTACCTCCATGTTTTTATTTTTAATTAATTTTTGGTTGATAAATAATAAACATACATTTAAAAAGTATAGTGTGCCATTTTGACACACACAGATATATGTAATTTATATATATAAGATGGAATTACTAAGTAAAGCTAACCGACACCTGTCACTCACTTACCAATCAGGTGTTTTTCCTGTTGCAACACTTAAAATGCATGTATGTTATATTTAAATATATCTTATATTAACCAAAGTCACCCTGCCATGCAATAGCTCTCAAAAATTTCTTTCTCCCATATGAAATTTTCTTCCCTTTGTTCAGTAACTACACATTCTCTAACTTCCACCCCATTCCTGGTAATATTTTCTTCAACTCTACTAAATTCTACATGTAGTTGAGATCATGATGTATTTGTTTTTCTGGACTTGACTTATTCCATTTAGTATAATGTCTTTTGGGTTTATATATGTTGAAGCAAATGACATAACTCTCATTCTTCTTTTGAAGATCAATTAGGCTGCGTTTTAAAATAATGAAAAATGTGAGAATGTATCTCAGTGTTAGAGAGCTTATATAGTATGTGAAAGGCCCTGGATTGAATTCCAAGCAACACACACAAACACAAATAAATGTATCTTCTTGTAATTGCATGTGCTTGAATGTTTATCTTGTCATCTAATGAAACATTGAAAATTTCAATCCTACTTATCTCATCTGGCTTTATTTAAATTGAGTAATTTGGTAAATATCCTGCTAAATTTTAATATGTATTTTGACCAAATTCTTGTTTTACTGTTTAATGTAAAATGTCATTAGGTCTTTAGTCATTTTCATTGTGCTGATGTATTTGAAGGGTAATGGTAGATCTAACAATTTTCTCTTGGTTTTGCCAATGTATTATTTTTGTTTGAGGTGAATTTTTTCTTACTTTTAGAAAACAATACAGAATACAGAGCACAGCCCTGCTGTTCCAACCTTGAAAAGCCTGTGGTAAGTAACTAAACTGAAGAGTTCGTGATCTTTTACCTTTTCACTCTTAATCCGCATGATCACTGTGATGTTTTCTTTAATAGAAGATTCATTTGAAGCATTTACTGTGTTAAAATTTTCATAAAATTAATGGCTAGTTATTTAATCCCAGTATTTCAGCACCTAACATGGGAGATACACCAAATATCAATTAAGACATAAAAATACTGTATTCAAAATTACACATTATGATTTTTAAGTATATTCCTTGCATTTCTATCATTTTAGGTTTCTAATATCCAAACAAGATCTGCTACTATTTCATGGAATCTGACCTGTACTGAAAAATGTGATCATATTAATTCTCCTGTGACATTTGAAGTGGCACTGTCTAGCAATGGTAAAAATGGATTCTATAAAAACATTTATAAGTAAGTCTTTTTAATTATTTTGTGTTATTCAAGTATACTATATAAACATATAGTCATTGTGCCACAACTTATCCTTAGGCTAAATTCTTCATTTCCCCCCCTAAATTATTCCTTTAGACAGGGTTAGTATTTAGTTTAGTTTTTTTTCTAGTAGTTGGTTCCTAAATCAATCCACAAAACTCATTAGATCACAGATCTTATTGAAATATCGGATCATCCATTTTCAGCTATAGGATACCTAAAATTTGAACTTAAGGAGGATAATAAAAAATAAAGCTTTAATTCCTCCTCATTTTCCACTTGGTTCAGTTTAGGAAAAATTAGCTCCATGTGAGGGTGTCTTTGGGTAAACAAGTGAGATAGTTTACATGGCAGTGAAAATTCAAGCCCTGGATTCTTAATTAAGTTCTGGGAGCTGGTTATAAAAAGGAGTCTGTTAAAATAGCAAGATAAATTGAGGGGTGTGGCTCAAAAGATTGATCCAGGACTATGGAGAATACATTAGAAGATAACGTGTGCACAACCAGATGTTCTAAACAGCAGTCAGCCTGAATGAAGATGCAAACAGAGAGAAACAAGGAAGGAAAGACATTCAGATAGAGAGAAAAGGACAATCTTATATCCATTTTTCAGCTTAGGCAGTAAGTAAGCCAGAGATGGTATACAAGATTTTGAAAATTATATTTGACAACTTTATTTTCTAGAACTCTGCATTTTTGGCCAGATACAAAAAAGTAAAAATGGGAATTTGTAAACCGCCTTGGCGGGTCACTGAGTCTAGGGATTGTAACCCGCCTGACAGTTAGTAATTCCAGGGTCCCGGAGAGGCGCTATCTGAAAGACATGGGAGGAGAGAAGAAGGCCAGGCAGATTTGTCGAAGCCTCCATTTATTAGAGTCATTGTTACAGCTTATATAGGATGAGGAGTTTGGCTTGGGATGGGGGCAGGGGCATGGAATCTTGCCGCGTGGTCCATGGTCACGTAGGCCAGGAGGTTACGTTCGGTCAGGTCACGATTCCTCGGTCAGCAGTTCACAGGTTGACACACCTAGTTCTCTAGATTGTTTGGAATGTGAGGTAGGTTCCGCTAACAGATAGCTCTCTATTAACAGCTAATTTGGGTGTGGGATAAGCTCTGCCAGTAAAACAATTCTAATTATTGTTAGGGGTGAGTGGGGTTCTCTGCTAACTCCTCATGGCAATGGTTCCTGTAATAATTTTGGGGAAACGGCTCCTGACAGGAATTTTATATAAAGTTTCATTAATTTGATAATTATCATGTAAAATCGTGAGCTTTAACATTCACAGCCCACACTACTCTATACTGGGTAGAAGACAGGCAAATGCAAAATTAACTCGCATGGAAATCTCTTTCTGGTATGTCATGCACTTTACACACCTCACTGCTTTCAAAGAAATAGAACTTAGCATTCAACGGTGGGAGGAAAAAGAGGGGGTAGAGGAGGAGACACAGGAAGAGGAAGAGTTTGCCTGTTTGTTGACATCTCTGATCATCCTTAAAGGCTTTTAAGTAGCCTTTTCACAAGGTATCCATCCCTTCAATCTTTAGAGGGGTCTTTTCAGGAATTCCTTGGTGTGGTCAAATACACTTTGGTCTTTGAAAGTTTCTGCTGAGGAAGACAGTTTGGGGTCTATAATCCCTCTGGTTGGATGGCCCAATAGGATCCCACTGCAGAAACATCCATCTGAAAATGAATGAATTAATGAATGAGAGAGACATGATGTTCTTTGAAGCTTTGGTATCTACACTCATGTAAATGAGCTACTTAAAAGTAAATCTGTACAATTTTGGTTAAATATATGCGGCAGTAAAATTCAAATTGACTGCTTTAAATTACTCTTATGATTCTTGGTGTGTGCTATAAAGATTTATTGATGTCACAGGCAAGACAAACTCAGTACTTCTTAGTGGCCACTTTCTAATTGACCAGCAGCACCTTGTTCAGCTCCTCCTGTCTTGGTGCAAATGTGCCAATGGGGATCCCTGCTCTATGAACTTGAACGCCTGCTGTAGAAATTTAGAGCAGCTCTGTGGTGTGTCCACTAGCTAGTGGCAACCACTCACCTCCCAGATCATATCCCTCATCAACTTGGTATGCTTGGTGAAGCGCTGCTGCTCCTCAATGCAAGCTGGAGCCTACTAGAAATATTTTGCACACATATAAAGTGGTTTTAAGTTATCCAAACTTCAAGGAAAACTGTGGTTTCTTTATCAGTTATTCAGGTATTATGAGACTAGGACTGTTTATTAGCTGTTAAATATGAGTGAGATCCCATGTAAACAAAGATTATCTTTTCAGTGGTAATGAGGGTACTGTGGCCCTACATCATCTCCAGCCCTGCACAGTCTACTTTTTAAGGTAAGAAGTCTATCCTATACAACCTGCCACCAGACTGCAAGCCAGCCAAGACTCCTTAACCTATGAGAGTTTTAGTACTGAGAATTTCTGAAGTCAGCCTGTTTATTTACCAGCAAAATGCCCTTTCCTTCCACCTTCAAACAACCCCACTTCCATACTCATGTAAGCAACCCTAGTTTAACTCATTAGGTTGCCCAGAAAAGAAAGGCCATGAAGGTAAAGAGTGGGAACTATTGGGAATGAGAAGGGAGCAAAAGAGAATAATGGGAAAGGAGGAGGTATGATCTTCTATAAAAATGCCATAATGTGAGCCGTTACAATGTATAAACAATATATGCTAACAATAGAACAACAAAACATGTGTCTAGAAGCACAATCCTGCAACTCAGTACTAGAAAGCTTATGACAATTGCTGTTACTCTTTCAGAGTTACAACCATAAGAGACACAGAGCACAGAAATGTGTCTGAAGTGGTTAGTTTCACAACACGTGGCTGTGAACCAGACCCTCCACTTGCACCTAAACTAATTAGCAGAACCAAGAACAGCCTGAATCTGCAGTGGAAAGTAAGAATTTTACTGACAAAAGCATCTCAGTGTGACTTAAAACACTCTCCTGTATCCTGAATTTTAAAGATGGATTATGCATGCTTCATCTAACTTACTTCTCTAATGCTTTTCTTCACAATACTCATTCTCTTCATTCTGAGAAGTCCTGCCAAGTGAATTGAGAAATGTCAATATAACTTAGGTAATTAATAAAAAGTGAACTGCCCCTTTTCACCACTTAAGTTTTGGTGTTAGTCAGCACAGTTACCAATAAATCTGTCTCTCCAATTTCTTATGTATCAATTTTAATTTCTTTCCTTTTATGAAGTCTGAAAACAAAATATAGAATCAGTGTTTGTATTGTAGACTGTAAACCATATGTTCTAACCTTAAATCTGAATTGTCATGAAAACAAATATCCTTTTTTTGCAGTAATTTATACCAGTTTAAATGCATACACATGTATATATTATATGTAACATATATGTATTATGTAAAAATAACCCATAATAATTTTATTATTCTGATCTATTCAGGGTTCCAAAGATAATGGATCCAAAATAAGCAGCTTTCTTTTGGAATGGGATGAGGTATGCACATTTATTTTGATTTTAATTTTATTAAAATAATTTTCAATTAATATATGCAGATTACTGTTTCCACTCCCTCAACTCCAGGTCCCTATGCATCACTCATGAAAATCCACAGACTTTCTTGTTCTCCTTAGAAAACAGGCATCTAATGCAAGAAGGAAGAAAATAATAAAATAAGATAAAATTTTAAAAAATATCTGAATAAGAAAAAACAAACAAATAAACAAAAAAAGAGTCAAAGAAAAAGCACAAGAAACACATGTAGATATAGAGACATACATTTGTGCACATAGAAATCTCATAAAGATCAGAAAACATAATATCTAATCAAAAGACCTGTACATATTTTTAAATGCCCAGACAAAGCATTGATTCACTAAAAAATGTCCACTTTTACCATTGAATTCATTTTGTTATTGGTCAAATACTGCTGGGAATGGATCCTGTCCTTAAGTATGGTTTGGATACCGAGTGAGACACCATGGGAAAAAAATAAACTTTTCTTTTTCAACCTGTTTTCATCTGAAGATAAGTTCTGGCTTAGGGATGAGGGCTTGTGTCCATTTTCCCCTGTCAGTGAAGGGATCCCATCAGGCTTAGACTTCATGCACAGATATCTTTAAAAATCATTCACTTGATTGTGAATGATTAACACTATGATGAGTATGTGTTGTTAGGTGCAGTATTTTAAAATATTCTAATATTTTGTGTGCATTGTTAAGGGTAAAGGTGAAGAGTTCAAAAGTTGCTACAGTGGTCCCACTAAACAGCACAAGATCTTTAAACTGACTGCTTCTACGAAGTATGCATTCAGATTAGCTGCCAAAAATCACTTCGGCTCCAGGTACATTGAATTATTTTCACTATTGAAAAATCTACAGTGCCATGAGATCCTGAAACTGGTGTTTCCACTTTAACATATCCTTTTAGTAATTACAGTGAAATAGCCGTCTTCCACACATCAGGAAACACACCTCCGGCACCGCTGCCTCCTAAGTTGAAAGAAGCAGGAGTCTATAGTTTGTCACTGGAATGGTGTGCCCCAACAAACCCAAACCCAAATGACACTCTTACTTATGTCCTCGAGATGGAAGAACCAAGATCTGTAAGTGTCCTGTTTGGGGGCTATGATCTTTAGCCTCATCTCTCAATACTTTTTTATACTCACTTCTCACTTGGAGGGGGGAACAACCTTGAGTCCCTGTGTTCTGAATGGGCTCAGTGCAGAGCAACTGTTGGGCAAGTCTGCATAGGTTGCTCAACCTCAACTAGCTCAAGGCAACAGCAGCATCTCTGCACTCTGCTCGTTCTATTCAAAGACATCTGTTAGCATTTTCAGCTCCAGCCCTGTTCTGGCTGACTCTCTGTGGTCACAGATATCTTTCAGCACCTTTACACAATTCTGCCAAGCTGTCCACCTTCATCTCAGTTTCCTCATGTGGGTGGGCAACTATTTCATTCCATTTGGAGCTTTCAAATCTGTGTCAAAGAGCCGGTCAATTTAAACAGCAGCCACAAATTACTATGTACATGCCACAAAATGTTAAATGGAGGAGATAACACTGAGACGTGTTCTGGGTCGTAACTAATAGGCTCATATAATATCAGAGTTGGACAAGGCAACCCAATAGGAGGGAAAAACTCCCAAAGAAAGGCAAAAGAGTCAGAGATGCACCCATTCCCACTATTAGGAGTCCCAAGAAAGCATCAAGCTAACAGCTGTAACATATATGCAGAGGAACTGGTCCAGACCCTTTGGGGTTCAGAAAGTCTAAGGTACTTTCTCAAGACCATTAAGGTAGATAGTAAATTAAAGCTAGAGCTGGAACCTAAGCTTCTTTCCTAAATTCCCTGTCCTCCATTTTCAGGGATTGGGTTTTAAACCTAAATACAATGGAGAAGATCTCTCGTGCATTGTAAAAAATCTTCAGAGAAATACTACATACAAGTTTCGGGTATGTGCCATGGTTTAAAAATTGGTGTTGTGTTTTCATATAAGACTAAACTCTTCACTGGAATAAATGCTGGTGTTTTTCTTTGAAATGAAACTTTACTTTGTATTTATTTCTTGGAAATGCTCACCCAGCTGCACATTACACATTATCAAAGCAGACATTTATTTCCAATGTCCAACAAAATAATTTCTTTTACACAAACAGATTTTTGCCTACAATCTGGAAGGAAGAAGCAACCCCAGTGGAGAAGTAAAATATTCTACTTGTCCAGCCAAGCCTGGATACCCTAAAAAACCTTATGTAGTGGGAGCAATCCATGCACGCCAAGTAAAAATTGGCTGGGGTAAATAATTCTTTTATGTCTGAAGTTTGTTCTCTCCATAATTACTATTGAGAGGAAATCGTTCTGCAATTGCTCTAAGCTTAATAAAATAGTCCCATTTGCATGTGAAATACTCTGCAATATAAATGAATTTTATAAACCCTATCATTTTTGATAATTTGCTATTGAATTTCCTATAGCTAGCACAACTAGTCACATATGAACCAACTGTTGAACTTCATATGTATCCTTAAATAACTGTCTTCCAAGTAAAATTTTAGTCAAAATATGTACTATAGTAACAGGTCTGTGTCAAAGATAAAGGTCAGCTTAATCAGAAACTATGTCTAAACAGATTTTTGCCCCTAAATTAGATGAATAAAAATTACTCCACATATTCTTATCATTTTAGTTTCTTACCAAGAACTTTGAAATACTATCTAAATACTTGATGAGTGATATCAAATGTATATAACTTGTATTAGATTTTTAGATTGTTACTAGTTATATAACAATGTCATTTATATTTTTTTCTGTGAGAAGTTACATTTTATGAGATAAAATTTTAGTGAAAGACTTGCAAGCTTTTAGAAAATCACTTAAAATTTGTTTCTCTTTTTAGACTCCCCCAGAGACAATGGTGGGATGCACATTTCAAGTTACAGTTTAGAAGTCAGTGAAAATTCAGATGGTGGTAAGGCAACACAAATTTTAAAATATTTTATTTTGGAATAATCTTACAGCCACCTAGAAGTTTTGAAAAAAAAATAGTACACAGTTTCCTAGCAAAACTATGACTTAGCTTCAGCTAATAGTAGTGTCTTAAATAATCATCGTGCAATTGCAAAAACCAGAAATTAATATAAATACACACCTATAAGACCAAACCACAGAATGCAATTGGAGTACTTTTGATTAGAAATCATGACTTACTGATCCCATAAACTTTTGTTTAATTCTGCGGGAAGTAAAATAATTTATCATGAAAAATTATTGGATTACACTGGACTGTGGTGACATAAATGTTTAATCCCACCACTCAAGAGGGAGAAGCAGGCAGAGCTTTGTGAGTTGGAAACCAGCCTGATCTACAGAGTGATTTCAAAGACAGCCAGTGTGCTGCATGGAGAAACCCCGTCTTAAAACCTTACCCCCCAAAAGATAATTGGATCAAGTTGTGCTCTAAGATGGTTGTTTCTTTATCATGCATATATTAATTGTTGTGGGAACTTATAAAATTTAGAAGTGACCTATGAACAAATTGAGCCAAATTGCTCCACTTCCTGCAGCAAATCTTTGGAAGATAATCTACAATGGCACTCTCCAGGAATTTCTGTACGATGGCCTCCAACCAGGCACCACATATAAACTGAGAGTCTTTTGCACTTCACCTGTAGGCCAAAGCCAGGTAAGAAATCAGAAAGGGGAGAGTTCTCAAATTGAGGGTTGAAATAAACTATTATATTATTGGAAGTTTTCTAAAGCTGAACTCTAATTTAGTAAAATAGTAAAATATTTTATATCTCTTAGCCTTCTGATGTATTGACAATTCAGACACCCACTCTACCTCCTGCGTCTTGTCGCTCACTGCCCTTAAACAGTAAAACCAAGTGCAAAGACATAAACCTTGGTAAGTAAACTTCTAGTCCTGTGACTTTTGTTTTGCATACATGTGGTAATATCATCAAGTAGAGTTTCCTTTTAGTCTGAATTGAATAATTCTTAGCAAACCAATGCTTGGTAATGGAAACCTAGCTTAATTTCTAAGTTAAATTACAAGGTTAATTGATAAAATAAGCTTGGCATCTCTAAAGCATTTTAAAAGAGAAGTCTTAACTCACTCCACAGTATATTGTATTGTTCTAAAGAACCATCCATGAAAACCAGAGACTTGGTGTGAAGCAAAACATAAAGAATAGTGCATGTGTTTAGTATAAACAAGAGTGGGTTTGAACACTAATACCAACATAACTAATTTGTGGAGGTGAGAACTGAGTGTGTTTTACATATTTTATAGACAATCGCTCCGTTAATGGGAACTTGGAAACAGTCGTGCGTGGCAAAAAAGCAAAAGGTCCCCGGAATGACAGAAAGGAGTACTCTGGCTCCAAAAAGAAATGTAAAGTAAGTAAATGACTTCCTGAAGAACCCACAGTTTCTGGCTAAAATCATAAAATAGGAGAAGAGAAGTTGCACTGCCCAGGTGACCCGCCTGAACTTCAGTTCACTTTGAGTGAATACATGCTTGCACTGTACTTGCCGTCCAGGTAAGGAGTGGCCACGCCTGCAAAGTCATGCATGGGTTTGTTTATTTGTATGTCTGTTTAATTTGTAGCTTGGATCTCATTCTATGAAGTGTGGAACTGTACCAGCCCGGCACCCTCCTTCTCAGTGTGGTACACCTGTGCTAACCTGCAAGGGTCCAACCTGTGTTGTTGTCAGTTGGGAGGTATTTCACTAATTCAACTTCTTATTAATTTTGCTGATACACAAACATGATAATGCGTTAGAACATTTTGTGGGAAAACCCTGAAATCTCTAATAAATCAAAGATTAGAATTAGGATCCCATAATTCCTCATGAATCATAGATTAGAATTAGGATCCCGTAACCCTCAGATCTTGGTTTCTAGAACAAACCTAGGAATTGATACCAGTAATATCATGAAGACTACAGAACTGATATTCTGCTCTTCATATATCAACTATAAAAACAGAGATCAAAATGGACTATCAATGGGTTACTAATTGAGGTTTTAAAGCTAATGCAAGAGACAGCTAAGGTAAATCATTTTATAAAAGTTTAACTTTCTGTGCTGCTGAGGACTGAAGCTAGGGCTGATTCATGCATGGTAGGCAAGTGCACTCCTTCTGAACAATATCCCCAGCCCAGAACTTGCTATTCTTTGAAGAACATCATTGAAAAATCTTCTGGTACTATTTCTAACCTGTAACTGCAAGCTGGTACATAAGGTATATTAAAGATTTAAAAATATGCTTTTAACAACCCATGTGAATGTCTTACCAAACTAGTTACATTCTTAATATTAAGAATTAGCCTAATTATTTAGGCAAATAGGTTCATTTGGATTGTTCTTTTTTTCCCCAGTCTCAAGCAATGGCTTATTTTTTTAACACTGACAAAAAGGCTTAGTCTGTTAATAATGTATGACAATACTAATTTTTTAACTTATGTAGGCCAATTCACCAGGTCATATGATCAGTGATTTATCATACCAACCAATGGCAATGTTAAACAATATTTTTGTTTTCATTCATCTCAGTTGTGAAATCAGCATGTCCTTTTTCTTACTCTAACTTGTGCCTTTGAATGTGGTTCTAGTGTCCTGCCTGTGTTTGTTTCTATCCATCTCTATCCTGTTTCACTTGATGGATTACAATCTTCATGTGTTATTCTTCTCCACAGTGTCTAATATACCACTTAGAAAAAGGATTGAATTTCTGTATGCAATTCGTCTTTCAGATTCCTAAATGCAATGGTGCTGAAATCACCGATTACCGACTGCAGTGGGGACAAGTTGAAGATTCCATGCACTTGATTTACACTGGCCCTTGTTTGCGGTATGAAGTCAAAGGCCTTATTCCAGCAACCACGTATTTTTGCAGAGTCCAGGTAGAGATGGCATTTCCTTCACTATTTCCTTAGCTATTGAACTGTGCTTCACATATATATAATACTAGCGTCATTCCCAATGTAAAGACCAGAGTAAAGTCAAGAAGGGAAGGATTTCTAAGAATATTGCTTATCTTTGACTACAGCACTTGGAGTTCCTTCTCGTATTATTTAAAGCCCCAAATGATCTCACATGTACTTTCCAGTCCCACTTGATCTGTCATATTTCCTTTATACGTCTGTGGTTTTCAGATCTCTCTGAACTTCTAGCAATTATCTAAAATGGTTATTAAAACACTGACTTGACCCAGGCCTGTAGAACAGGCATGTATTTCCAGAATTTTGGAGGGTGATGCAGGAGAATTGCCTCAGGTTTGAGGTAAGCATGGGATACATAATAAGTTTAAGGCTGGACTGGAGTATACGATGGGTCCTTGTCTGAAACAAATACACCTGTTCAGGCTTACACAACCAGTTTCTTTCTTTTTTTTTTCTTTTGAGGAGAGTGTTGTTTTGCTCTTTGACTTTTTAAGACATGGCAGGGATTCTCTGTGTAGCCCAGGTTGTCCTGGTATTCTCACTGGAAAACAGGCTGGCCTCGAACTCAGAAATCCCACAGCCTCTGCTTCCTCAGTTCAAAGATAGGTTGACTTTGAGAAAAACTTGGGACAGGTGCTTATCAGAAGTCAATACAGTAAGGCAATGAGCTTCATTTACTGGCTAGGGTTCTTATAGTGCTAGGGCTTGGGAAAGCCTTACTGGGGATTCTAGGAATTTTCCTGAATGATCAGAGTGGTCTTGTGGGTTAGATGAGATGATGTTACTGATTTAACTAACATTATAGGAATGATATATTCAATTAAATTCTGTCTTCAGCAAACTGAAACCATTAGCTTCATGGAAAGGGATACTATTCAGGCCAGAATGGAGCTGCCTTCAAGACAAGATGGCTGTGCTTCTGTTCTCTCAATTCAGGAACTATGCTTGTGGGGATGTCTCTAATGATACTTCCTGTTAAGGAGGGGCAACAGTCCTAGGAATGAAGGGTCTAGAGGAGGAGGACAACTTTAGGGCCTTCTTGTGAGTTGACTGTGCTAGGAAAATTGAGGTGATCCTTTCAGCCCAAAACATCTGGAAAAGGTTAGCAAATCATGGAAGAAAGAGCAATCCCAGAATGATCATGATAAGCAGGAGCAACCAAAAGAGCAGTCAAAAGAAGCAATTAAGTATGTGAAAGGGTTAATCATGAGATGTAAGACCCCTGAAGAACAATGACTGTATCCTTTTTAATTTTAATTTAATTTTATAAAGATGCCTGGCACCAGAGGCTGGAGAGATGGCTCAGAGGTTAAGAGCATTGCCTGCTCTTCCAAAGGTCCTGAGTTCAATTCCCAGCAACCACAAGGTGGCTCACAACCATCTGTAATGGGGTCTGGTGCCCTCTTCTGGCCTGCAGGCATACAGACAGAATATTGTATACATAATAAATAAATAATTTTTTTTAAAAAAAAAAAAAGATGCCTGGCACCCACAAAGGCCAGATTAGAAGGCATCAGATCCAGTGGAACACAGTTTCAGATGATTGTGGGCCACACTGGGGATGCTGGAAACTGAACCCAGAACCACTGTAAGAGCAACAAGTGTTCTTAATCATCAAGCCATTTCTCCAGTACAGTAGCCTTTCAACCTTGTGATCCATCACTACCTGAACTGACTTACTGATAAAAAAAATAACACTGTTTATTCAAAAGTGCACACATAGCCCCCATGGGTGTCCTATAGAAGACAGGGAGGGCCCAGAAGTTCTGCTTGACAACAACAGCCAGGTAACAGATTTGGTCTTGGATTGTCAGAAGCCAGTGTCCAACATTGCTGATGCTCTCTAATACTTGTTTAGAGAGAAAGATGGGTTAATTGGTGAAAGGTTTCTCATATGATGAGGGTCCCCTACTTAACACCATGAAGACTCCCAAGGTTGTTTAGAGACCCTGATGGAGCCTGACACCTGGATAAGTATATCCTAGGATGTTTTAGTACAAAAGATCTCCACACTTTCTCAGAATGGAATATAATAAATATTTATTTATTAGGTGGTAAACTCACATAAAGTATAGTTATCTGCAGTCCTCTGCATGCACAAGGAACTGAAACCCAATCCAACATCCAAAGGGCTCATGCAGGCTTTTCTGTCTGTATTTATAGTACATAAGACCACACCCAAAGTTGGCTAGTATCTTAAATGCTATTGGCTGAAGGAATTCCCACAGCACCTCCCATTTTGTCTAAATAAAAGAGTTTTAAGGCTAATACAAAACTATATACAATCAGAACAAATATCAAGTATAAAATTTGGAATTACAACCAGAATGAACAACATCAAGCAAGAAATATGTGTTGAATTTTTCAGTAGTAATCTTTTCCAAAAGGAGTCTAAGTCTTATATTGAAATGGCTTTTCTAATTCATGAGAGGAAAGTAACTATGACTATCTAGTCTTCAAATTCATCAAAGATCTGAGAAGGTAAATAATATTACTTGAATAAACAGGAAGTGTAATCAAGCAACTTCCAAAAGGTGCTAGAAATGACAGTGACAACTGGTTATCTGGGCAATCACCCAAAGTCTCATTTGCAATGTTGGGGCAACCAGCTTTGCCTATGGCCTAGAGCAACTGACAGACCACTTTTAGAAGCAGGAAAATTTTAAAAACCATCTTACCCTGTTTTGGCGATGTTTGGCAGTCTTTTTGCTGTATCATGTTTGTTCAGTCTGGACACTGCATTTTTCAGTGTTTGAGGTAGTGTCAGTTATTTGCCCAAAGGCCAGTTTGTTAAGAAGAAAACAAGGTCCAAGTGGAGTACATTCAGTATTCAACATTCTCTCAGGAATAGATCAGTACTTCCAGAAGCAATCATCTCTCATGTCAACAGAATCCTAAGTTATTTGAATGTCATATTCTACAGTTCTTTGAAGTAGTTAAAGGTTACCTATCTATGTAGAATACAATTTCTGCACATCTAAAGAACTTGGTTAGTCTAACTATGACAAACATGGATGTCTATTGATCTATAATTCTTAATACCTATATAGCTTAAAGACTAAGGATTCATATTAAACAATCTTTAAACAAATGTGCAGCAGATGAGAACAATGACCTCCAAATGTAAACAATGTATAAGTATCTTGATCAGAGGTAGAAATATATATTGCAATATAATAAATGTATCCTAAAAGTGTATCAATATACAAAATATCTTAAAAAGAGGTAGAAACATGCATTCATATAATATGACAAAATAACTCTGCATAGGTACAGAAATATTGTACACAGAAATAAGAGTATGTTCAATATAACAAATATAATTTGAATTTTTATCAATATGCAAGAATTTATACCAATATAAATCATCTATAAATAATAGCTCATAAGTATTCTCACTACTATTCACTATTATTATTATTGTGAGTAAGCTCACACCAGTCTACCTATTATCCTATCTAACCCCTTTTATCAAAAGAGATCCCTGAGCCTACTTAATTTCAACCCCCAACCCTATATCACTTATAACCAACCCCTAATAGATTTCCCTAACCCTGAGGACAAACTTTGTTGGAAGAGGGGAACATTGTCTTCTAGAATCATTTTCAGCTGTCATGGAGGTAATGCTATTTCTATGGGATCCTGTAAAAACTAAAATGATGGATAAGTTTCAAGATTACTGTTTGGTACAATTACAGATAGTCTTTGAGTAGTCACTTGGGTTTTTCTGAAGTTCTTATTTTAAGTTATGGTCAGAATGTTGTAAAATGGTGCACTATCTCAACTAACCTAATTTTCGATAAATCTATTTTATAACCTAAATAATTCATTGAATCTCCTCTTTGTATTTTTTTCAGGAGCAATTTGTAATCCACAATTAGGCAAAACTTTCTTTACTTCTTCAAACTTTCTTTCTAAATTATCTACATTTGAATCAGATAGCAAAATGCCATCCATGTAATGGTAAACTATAAATTTAGGAAATTGCTTATATATTATTTCCAATGGTTGACTTACAAACTATTGGCACAGGGTGAGGCTATTTAACATTCCCTGTGTGAGGACCCTCCATTGAAATCTCTTAGAAGGCTGAGAATTATTATAAGTAGTCACTGTGAAGGAAAAATTTTCTGTCTTTTTCTTATAAAGGTATAATGAAAAAACAATCTTTTAAATCAATAGCTATAAAAGGCCATCCTTTAGGCAACAGGGAAAGCAAAGGAATTCCAGATTATAGAGGGCCCATTGGTTGAATAACTTTATTGACAGCTATTAGATCTGTCACCATTCTCCATTTTCCAGATTTCCTTTCAAGAACAAATACAGGAAAATTCCAAGGGCTGGTTGATTCTTCAATATGGTGCACATCTAGTTGCCCCTGTACCAGCTGTTCTAAAGCTTATAGTGTCTCTTCTGTCAAAGGCCATTGTTTAACCCATATTGGTTCCTTAGTTAACCATTTTAAAGGCAGGGCTGTTAGCACCTCTGAAGGTTTGCTAGTTGTTTTGTGTTTTTGTACAATCTGAATGGCTGTTGACAGTTTTTTTTTAATAGTACCTTATGATATCCTTCCCAGAAACATGAATTGGATTGTACTCCCATATCTGAGACTACATGAATGTTAATCTGGGTATTACATTGCTGCAACAGATTATGACCCCATAGAGTCACTGCTATGTTAGATAAATATGGCCTCAGCCTTCCTCTCTGTCTTGCTGACCCTATGCATTCACCCCATCTCATGCTTTGTTTTACTTGAGATAGGGTTCCAGTTCTTAGGAATTGAATATTTGCCTCCTGAAGAGGCCAATTCAGATACCAAGATTCTGGAGTAATAATAGTCACATCCTCACCTGTGTCCAGTAATCCTTCAATTTAATATTACTTATATGTACTCTCAGCTTTGGTCTTTGATCATTTATAGAAGTCTGCCAAAATATACATTTCTGATTTTCCTATTAGAATTTTTTATTCATCCTCTATGTTTATTCTACCATCCAGAGCAGTATGGTTTTTTTGTTTTGTTTTGGTCTGCTTTTTACAACAGGCACTTAATTGTTCTAGTTTTTCTGGGAAGACATGTCCTCCACAGTGACTGGGAATGACTGGACCAAAATTAATGTGAGGGCCTGCAAGAGCCCCCCCCCCAAAGTTTCTCAATGGTAGCAGGTTGTCTTGTTTGTCTCCTGTTGATCTACATTAATTGGTCCAATGGTGGCCTTTGACGCATCTTCTATATAATCCAGAGGTTGAAACCTTCTATTTTTGTCATTCCCAGTGGAAACATTTCTAGAAACATCTTGTCTACAATCCCTTCTCAGATGTCCTATTCTATCACTATAAAAGCATTTGGTATTTTGATGTCTCTGCATACCTTTGGAAATTGACTTTTCTGCCCAATCCTCAGTATTATAGTCAAATGACTCAACATTGACTGTGTGCAGTATATATCCATCCATTGATGCTAATTTGACCTTTAAATACTTAAGTACCTTTTTGTATTCTAAGTTGGAATTTTCAAAAGACAGAGATTCAATAAGTACTCATATAGCTTCTTGATTTATTACCTATTTGTACAGCTATAGTTAACCTTTATAAAAAAAAGTCACTAAAAGGTCCCTTTCAGAATCCCTAAGTTAAAGATCAATGGTAACACCAAGTGTTGTCAGATTCCTAAGGAAACTGGTCATTCACAAGACACTGATGAGAATCATAGCCTTTCCAGATAAAGAGCACAGTAGCATCTTACATTTATTTGTAGGAGTCAAACTAAAATCATCTCAATATCTTTCAATGGATGTATGGTTAAGTAAACTATGATACATCTATACTGTGACACACTGTTCAGTAATAAAAATGAGCAAATTATTAATATATAAAAGCTGAAAACTCTCCAGATTATTACAGTAACTAAAAGCTGAGCCTGCATCAAAGTTATATGTTGCATTATATAATATTTATATGATATTCTGAAAACAAGAAATTTGTAGTAATGATGTATAGCAAGCAGTTAGTGGTTTTGAGGAGTTGGAAATTGGACAGAGTTGGAACATACTGTGGCTGGAAGAGGAGCACATGGAATCCTGTGATAAAACTTCTTTGTATTGAAGGGACCATCGTGACTGACTAAAACTTAAGCACACACACAAATAAGTGCACACAGTTCCAAGAAACATCAGTGTGTTTTATCAATGGTGATTTCTTGGCCATAGTATTGAACTGTAGTTACTGAAAATATTGTCCCCAGAGGAAAGTAGGTACAGGACATATGTATATATTATTGTTCAGTTTGGGATTATATATTATATGCTTGCCCAAGATCTGTGAAACTGATTGACTGGATGGGAACTTAACAGAGATAAAAACCCAAGCATGAAGAATGGAGAAAATCTTAGTGTCCTAGTTGATGAGTCTTGTGGGGGGTTAATTATCTAAAATGTCCGTATAACACTTCCGACTTTTCTTCATTCGTGTGCACTCTTTTGTGTGTGTGTGTGTGTGTGTGTGTGTGTGTGTGTGTGTGTGTGTGTGTGTGTGTCAACAAGCCCCCGGACTTTATGTACTCATTGATTTATCTACCTAATGAGATTGGTTATCAGCAAATTGTTTCTCAGCCTTCAAAGATGAAATCAATTTCTGGAAGGAAAATTTAGCGAATTCAAGTACAAAGTTGCCAGATGCAGATGATTCGGTTTCAATTGATCAATATTTATGTCTATTCATTCTCTTTTCCTTATATTATTGTGAATAATTTGATTCTATGACCCCCAAACATTTAAACTCTTCTCATTAGTCAGTGGCATTAGTCAGTGGTTCATCTTTTTATAACTTTTTACCATCCTAAAGACACACACTTCAAGTCTCAGCATGTATTTCTGCAGTGTAGAACCAAATTGTTAGAATATGTGTTTATGATGCACTGTTTGGTTATGCAACAAAATGTTCGTGCACAGAAAATCATTAAAATGAATTGCTAATGAATGTTACATTGTTTTTCAGGCTGTCAATATAGTTGGGGTTGGAATGTTTGGAGGAACTGGAAAAGTAACTACACCGGGAACTGTACCTGCCATAGTTCCAATGTTACAAGAAGTTGAAGACAAAGTTCCTGCCAAACTGTCTTCATCTTGCATAGCTATCCGATGGGAGGAGCCAGACTGCCATGGTTCTCCCATCACTGGATATAACATCGAGTATGGAGATAAAAAAATCTTGACTGTTGATAGAGTAACAGAGTATGTTCTGAAAAATCTACAGCCTAATACTACATACAGGTAAGTCACTCATATCTTATTTTGGGTACGTGGAAAGAATGTTGAGAATTTTGAGCAGACCTGCATTTGTGTATTTAATATACTTCAAATTTCTTTTGAAAAGAGTTATGTTTCATTGGCAAAATTTCATATTAGTAAGAACCATTTCTGCTTCTCATCAGTGGTTTTTAATAGTAGTTCTATCTTAGAAACCTGTCTTGTAATCAGTATAATAGTCATTCTATATAGAGATAGAGTAGGTTGGCTTATATGAAGAACAGTATTTCCTCTACTAAATATAAATTCATATATTTTAATTTATTTTTACCACTAGAATCAGAATTCAAGCTATTAATCATTACGGACTAAGCCCTTTTAGCCCATCAATAAGAAGCAAAACCAAACCAATACTACCCGCACCTCCACAGCTTGATTGTGTGGTCCAAGGACACCAGAGTCTCAGACTCAAATGGGGGAATGCATCACGGAAAAAATCACATGCCAACTCTATAAGCTACAACTTACTAATGGAAGATCGATCTGGCAGGTAACCACTTTTACCATTTAATGTCTACTGTAATTAGAACACTTTGAACTGATATATCTTTCCAGCCATATTCTCTCTCTCTCTCTCTCTCTCTCTCTCTCTCTCTCTCTCTCTCTCTCTCTCTCTCTCTCTCTCTCTCTCTCTCACACACACACACACACACACACACACACAAGTCTTAATCTGTAGTTTCAGTGGATGAAGTAGACATGAAAAGAACATGTGGCTGTGTGAAACATACTTTCAATTCTTGTGCATTGTTAAGCTGTGTGTTTTCCTTTCTTCCTAACCACTTTTCCTTTACTTCATGCAAAATAAGTACCAGAGAACAGAAGTTATGGAAGAAAGAGAGAAAGCCTGCCACCCTGACAGTATTGATCTTGTGACTTGATTTCTTTTTGCCTTTTGGTTTGTTTTCCCTTTCTGGCTTGTTTTGACTTTTTTGGGTTCAACTGTTGATTATAACATTGCTTCCCTAATCTTTATCTTTTTCCTCTCAGATTTTCTGTCATTTACCATGGGCCTGATCTGACTCACAAAGTGCAAAAATTGAGTGAATATACACAATACAAGTTTAAAATCCAGGCATGTAATGAAGCTGGTGAGGGACCACAGTCTGATGTCTACACTTTCACTACAACAAAAACCCCACCTGGTGCTCTTAAAGGTAAATGATGCGCGCAGACGCAGAACATTTTCTTAGAGCTTCCTCAGCACACACATATAAGCAGTAATTAGAAAATGCTAAGTCAAGAGAGGCAGCAAGGCTCAGAAGCACAAATGCCACATGCACTCTCTCATGGAAATTCTGACTTATAAATTTTATGTAAATGTATTTAGGTGAGAGTCAGTATGGGTAGAGGTGAGGAAAATAGAAATCATAAGACTAGGGGAGACTCTAAGGAAAGAGGTAGAAAGGGCATGAAACACATATGACATTAAAGTAGAAGGGGATTCAGAAGGTTGAGGAATATAAGTAGTAAGACGGAGCAGGAAACTGAGATGCACAGCTGATGGAGAACCTAAACAAACTCAAAACGTATGAAAACGCCATAAAAAACCTCTTACTTTCTTTGAAAATTGAAAAATTAAATTAAGAGTCTAGAGAGAGAGTTTAGATGTTAAGAGTATTAAATGCTCTTCGAGAGGAGTTGGGTTCAATTCCCAGCACCTATATGGAACCTCATAACTGTCTGTAACTGCATTCCTGGGTATCTGGCTCCCTTATGTGGACATACATGTAGGCAAAACACAAATGCCTATAAAATAATAATAAATAAATTATTTAAAAAACAGTCTGGCACTAGTGACACATGCCAGTAATCTGAGCACCCAAGGAGGCAGAAGCAAGCAGATCACTGTGAGTTTGAGGCCAGACTGGTCTACAGAGCAAATTTCAGGACAGGATCCAGACCTACACAGAGACACCCTCTCACATAAAACAAAAAAAAATATATTTAACTTAAATTAAGTCTTGAGGCTAGCTAGATAGATGCTTCAGTGATTAGTAGCACTAAATGTTCTTCCAAAGAACCCAGGTTCAATTCCTAGGGCTTTCATGGAAGCTTACAACCATCTCTACCTACACTTCCTGGAGATCTAGTGCTCTCTTCTGGTTTCCACAGGTACCAGGTGCACACACAGTGCAGACATAAGTATATGTCATCCACATACATTAAATAAATAAATAATTTGAAATTTAAATTAAATCTTAAAAATGCCATAGTAATTTTTAAATTCACTAATAGAATAATAAAAATGTAGTGCTTAATTGTGTAATTAAGGAACAATGAAAAGATTTATCAAGACTTCGGGCCTAGTAGGGGTGGCACACACAAAATTTTATTCCAGCACTTGGGAGGCAGAGGTATGCAGGTCTTTGAGTATAAGGCCAGCCTGGTCTACAAATTGAGTTCCAGGACAGCCAGGACTGTTGCACAGAGAAGCTCTGTCTCAGAAAAATATACATTTTTAAGGATTAGTAAGACTCTGAAAATCAGTATTTTTCAAATATCTTAGACATCATCTAATTTTAGCACTACAAATTTAAGAGTAAGCCATGGAGCTGAAAAGAGGCCTCAAAGTTTAAGAACACTGGTTGATCTTGCATAGGACCCAGGTTATGTTTCCAACACCCATTTGGTGGTTTACGACCATCTGTATATCCAGTTCCAAGGAATCCAATGCCCTGTCTCTGTGAGCACCAAGAACACACACTGGTACCCATACCTATACACATGCAAAACACAGGCTCCTGGTTTCCATAATGGTGTGCTGCCAACATTGTAATATCCATTCATTGTTACACATTATATTTTCTCAAATGTTTTCTTATGAAAAACGTCATCAATTGATGGGTGTAGCTATACAGACTAAAACTAAATTAATATATCAACTTTAATAACTTTATTTCTAAAACTATTAATTTAAACTTTTTATCAGTACTGTATGGTGTCCACCAGAGAAGTCTGCTCAAAGATGGCTTTAAGCCAATAGCAAGAATTTATTAGCAGGTCTGAAACTATACTAGGTTTTTCAGATATTACTGTAGCACTGAGATGTCTTAGGGTGAGCTTTTAAGCAAAAACGAACAAACAAACAAAAACATGGTCTGGATTGGCGTATGGTTAACAAGAACAGTTAGCCAGAAGCAGAACTACAGAAGCCAAAAAACATGGTTAGTACATTTAGAGACTTTCCCAGAATTATTGACTTTGGTGGGTTAGGGCTTTGTTTTAGCATTTGCAGGTGGTGCTGTCGTAATGCTGAGTTTTACAGCCTGAATTGTTCTTCTGTCATAGAGTCAGTTGTCCTAAGGTCTGGAGGCATGTTGCAATCAAAACAGTAAAATGCTAAGAGTCCAAGTTGGCAGGTCCCTGGTTTGAGGATTATTTTTCCCTCTCCCAGTTGTGATGTTTGGTTGATTCTATCTTTCCATATGAGTTCAATCATTATTTGTTTTTTTTTCTTATTTTATGTGTACTGGTGTTTTTGCTTGCATGTATGCCTGTGTGAGGGTGTCAGATCCCTTGGAATTGGAATAACAGATATTTGTGAGCTACCATGTAGGTGCTGGGAATTAAACCTGTGTCCTCTGGAAGAGCAGCCCATGCTGTTAATTGCTGAGACATCTCTCTAGTCCCCAAGTTCAATCACTAATATGAAATCATCCTTCTCTAGTGGAATGCTAACCGAAACACATTCAAATTAAATTAATTCTGCCTAGATAACAATAATGCTTTCTTCTTTTGCCGACTAATGTCCCTATATTTAAGCCCCATTTTCTTAAAATGTAGAGACTAACAACATGAAAACAATAGTGTGCTCCTTCTGACCTCACACAGTTGTTGTACCCCTCAAACAAAATTACTCGTCCTTATAAAAATATTTCTAAATGTAAAACATACCACCTAAACACAATGCAGATTATTCTAGAAGGAAAAATAACAAAATTTGAATTTATAAAAATATTAATAGAAAGTCTAATTATGCATTATTAATTGATAACTTCATCAAGGTTTTGCTACAATAATGATGCCTGATGGTATAACAAAAGTAAATTCAATAATAAGTATTGTTCTGTTTGGTGTGGTAATGTACACATTTAATGCCAGCACAAGGCTAGTCTGATCTTTGTAGCAAGTTCTAGGCCAGTCACAGCTACTTAGGGAAAGCATCTCTCAAAATACAAAAGTACCTTTTTAAATATGATTACCTATTTCTCATATTAGGTCTACGTGTGCTTGTAATGATTGTGTGGTTTGAGTCATTTTGATGTATTCAGCATCATGTAGAAAAAACTAGAAATTTCTAAAATGCAATTATCCTTTTCCAGCCCCTAAATTACATCCACTGAAAAGCAACAGTTGTGAGATCAAATGGGATTCCTTGGAGCCAATTAAAGGTGATCCCATTGTTTACTGTCTTCAAGTCGTCACTGGAAAGAAAGCTGAACAGGTATATTCTTTCACATTTAGTCTTTAATATTCTGCCAGGTACGATAGCCCCTGGTGTTAGCCTCAGCATTTGACAGGTAAACACAGGAGGATGAAGGTACTCTTTGGTTACATAGCAAGTCTGAGGGTATCCTGGGATCTATGAGGTCTTGTTTTGTTTTGTTAGTAGTATGCTGGTGAGAGTGTGCAGCTTTATTACCAGCACTTGGGAGGCAGAAACAGGCAGATCTGTGAGTTCTAGGTCGGTCTGGTCTCCAAATCATGTTCCAGGACAACAAGGGCTACACAGAGAACCCTGTCTTGAAAGCAATTGTAGGGTAGTATGTTATTTTTAAAGGTTTTTAAAGTAATTAAATCTCATTCCAAAGTTTCATCTCATTAATGTACATAATCTAGCTTGTTCATTTAGTTAGCTTACCACCACTGAATTGTTTATTATTTCTTGATTCCACTGACCACAATCCATGATTCAAGTACATACATAAAATAATTAAATCTCAACAGTTGTAGGGTTTTCTTATGCTTTATTGAAAATAATTATCTAATAAATACGGAACCCCTCAGAACATTAGAAACACTGTTACAAGAAGAAAGTGGCCCTTTGTTTCTCCTGGCCACCCAGCTAGCTTACACCCAAAATAACCACATAGAAACTGTATTCATTAAAACACCGCTTGACCATGAGCTCTAACTTATCATTAGCTAACTCTTACATATTAGTTTAACCCATTTCCATTACTCTGTGTAACGCCACATGACTGTGGCTTACCAGCAAGCTTCTAACTAGCGTCTGTCTCACAAAGAAGATCCATGGCGTCTCTCATTTGGCCCTTCTTCCCAGCATTCAGTTCTGTCTTCTCCGCCTACCTAAGTTCTGCCCTATCGGGTCAAAAGCAGTTTTTTTATTCATTAACTAATGAAAGCAACACATGAACAGCAGACCCTCCTACACCATTTCCCCTTTTCTGTTTAAACAAAAAAGGCTTTAACTTTAACATAGTAAAATTACATATAACAAAACAGGTATCAAATAGGAATTACAGTTATAATACTTTTATCTACTTTATCTTTTATCATAACTAAGGAGAATTATAACTATGAATTCTTTAACTCCATCAAAGACTCTAGAAGGATATAATATTACCTAAGTAAAAAGAAAGTGCATTGAAAGCAACTTCCAAGACTCTAGAATTGACAGAGACATCTCACTGCTTGTACAGTCACCCAAAGTTTTTCTATAACATTGGGGAATTTATCTTCAGCCTACTGACCCATAGTATCCAGCAGACTTTTACATGAATCAGGAAATTTCAAAGACAGTTCTGCCTATATTGGCAGTTTTCAGTTACTTTCTTCTGTGTCCTGCAGAATGTCTCACAGACTTTTTCATGAAGCAGGAAGCCTGAAGGACCATCTCTCCTTTAGGCAAGTTCATCAGTCATCTCTCTCTGGGTACTGCATGTCCAGTGAAGCAGTCCAGGCAAGAGCAGTTTCTTGCCCAAATGGCTACCAAACTCCATAAGGAGCTTCTTTGATCTCCATCTTCCTCTTAAAGTAGCTGGTGCTGCCAGGAGCAGATGTGTCTCATTGTCATGAAAAGTTCTAAGTTATTAAAACATTTTAAATGCCATTTTCTATAGTATTTGAAAGATATGAAGAATGCCTATCCATATGAAATATATCTATGCACATCTAGAAAATCTAACATGACTACAAGCTTGACTGTTATAGATGATTATCTATTAACCTATATTTCTTAATTATACATTACATTTTTAAATGAGCTACACAATCACAATACCTTAATCAAGATCAGAAATACATATAAACAAAATTGACCTTAAATTTGTATCAATAAAGCAAGATCTATACCAATGAAAATTATTCATCTCTATATCTTATCTCCCTTTAAATGTAAAAGAACATTTATAAACAATACTTGGCAATACGTGGAGTTAGTTGACCACGTTGAAGGCACCAATAGTTACAAGGAGAGAGGGGCCATTTGTTTGTCCTGGCTGCCCAGCTAGCTTACACCCAGAATAACCACACAGAAACTATAGTCATTAAAACACTGCTTGGCCATTAGCTCTAAAGTCTTTTTAGCTAACTATTACATATTAGTTTAACCTATTTCTATTAATATGTGTATTGCACATTACTGTGGCTTACTGGAAAGATTCTAACCAGCATCCATCTCAGGCAGAAGATCCATGGAGTTTCGCACACTGCCCTTCTTCCCAGCATTCAGTTCTGTCTTCTCTGCCTACCTAAGTTCTGCCCTATCAGGCCCTAAGCAGTTTCTTTATTCATTAACCAATGAAAGCAACACACAAACAGAAGAACCTCTTACACCAAAACACTGAGTAAAATTTTACTTTTGCTGTGAACATGTTCATTAAACTAATGAATTTTTGTTGTTTTTCTGTTGAAAATGCACAACATACTTTTAATTAGAAAGAAACTATAATTTTCATTTGATCCCTTTTCCTTTAGATTTACAAAGGACCGAATACCACCTTTTCCTTTTCCAACTATCTTGCAAATTCAAGATATCGCTTCAAGGTCTGTGCCGGACGCCAATATGAAAATTCTGATGGCATACAAGAGCTCTGGGGGCCATATAGCTCCAGCTCACTTTTGTCAACTTATAAGCATCAGTCTGGGCATGGCAAAGGGAGTGGAGGGAAAGGAAGAGGGAACCACAATGACAATGAAAAGTACAAGACAGAAATGAGTGATGATACCTTTGTTTTAACCCTTCTGATAGGATTTGCACTTATTGCCATTTTGTGTGCTGTTGCAATTCAGTACTTCCTGATCAACTAGTCTGTTCTTTTAGGAATTAGGAAAGCACACTACATCAAATTTAGAAAACCTTAGATACATCTTCACTCATACTTAAAAATAAAGATTATTGGTAGAAACTAGTAACATAAAAAAAATCCTGTTTAGAATTTAAGAACTTTTAATGTGGCAGTAGAAGAAAATTCTTAAGGAAATTCCATCATTTTGTAAACAAAACTATACATTGTTGTGAAAAACTAAGAACTTTTGTTGAACTATTTCCTGCCTTAAATTTGCAAGTCAATCTTTTCCAAAAATTTTGAGACCATGAGATAACAGCAGTGTTCTGGAATTTTATTTGTAAGAAAATGATAAAAATCAATTCTACATGTCCAGTTAAATATCCATATGAAGAAATAAAAAGTATCTACCAATCTTTTGTGCTCTCTTTTATTCAAAATAATGTATTCAGCAATTGGTTTTTATCCTAATAAAGAGTTTGAGTACTAGCTGGAGTTCTCTAAAGAACAGAACTGATAGAGTGAACACATATACTAATGGAGGATGCATTAGACTGCCTGGCAGTATAGACGGCCTCCAAATAGTCCACCAATGGCCATCTCATGACAGAAAGGCCAAGAATCACTAGTTGTTTCACTCACGAGGCTGGATGTCTTCGCAGTCCCAGTGAGGAGCTGGAGCCTGGAGGATTCCTAGAGAAATGCAGGTTTTCAGACTACATTAAAATCCTGAAGAAGTTGGATTTAATACTGAACATAGCAGCAGGATAGAAGAACTTGCCAGGAAGAGTGAGGGAAAGCAGGCAAAAAGCAATGCTTCCTTCTTCTGTGTCCTTTGATATGAGCTACCGCCAGAAGGTGTGGCCCCAATTTACAGTGGGTCTTTCTGCTTCAAATAACGTAATTAAGAAAATCACTCACAGGAGTGCCCAGAAGTGTGAATTTAGTTGAGTCTTCATGTAGTCAGGTTGACAACCAAGATTAGCCATCATTCTTTGAAAGTGGGGAAATAGTACTTTGTAGCTCTTTGCTGTAATAGGAAATTAGGGAAAATGGAAATGACATGGAGAACTATTCTATACCACTGTAAGCTCCTTGAAATACATCCCATTGGTATTGTCAAGCATTATATACATACACAATTATCTATATCCACATGTACACAGATTATTATAACATTGTATACATACACAATAGTCTATATGCACATGTGCACAGCATATTATAATCGTTTCCTCTCACAATAGATGGAGTCATATTCATTTCTAGTTACACATGAAGCATCTCATGTCAGTTCCTACAGTTCACACTCTGGGAGTTTTTCTCAAAATGTGTCAAGAAACTTACTATGCTCACTGTCTTAGTATTGCTGTGAAGAGACACCATGACCACAGCAACTATTATAAAGCGAAAATTTAATTGTGGTTGTGGCTTACAGTTCAGAGGTTCATTCCATTATCATGGTGGGATGAGGCAGCATGCAAGAGGGCATGGTGTTGAAGAAGAAGCTGAGAGTCAATGCATCTTGATCAAAGGCAACTGGAAGTGAAACGAGACTGGGAGTGGCTAAAGCATATATGAGATCTCAAAGCACAGCTTCACAGTGACACACTTCCTCCAACAAGGTCACACCTACTCCAAGAAGGTCATACGTCCTAATAGTGCCATGCACTTTAAGGGGCATTTTCTTTCAAGCCACCACACTCACTGAAAATGTTTAAATGCTATCTCATATTTCATTGACTTTATTAATGCTTTAAAACAGTACTTAAATTCAACATGAAGTTACCTACCGCTGACAATTTTGTCGTATTCTATGACATATCCTTATGTTGGGTACTGGTTAGCAATATTAATAATAATATAAAACTTCCAGTAAATTTTGATAAACATGGGCTCAGTCTTGCTTCTCTATATGCATTGTGAGTGCCATCATGTAACAGGTAACATTTTGTTTCCGTTAAAGAAATAACTGTTGGTCCATAAGAAAATTACAACAAATCCAGTTCTACATACATTCCACTTGATTTCTCAAACCCCTACGATACATTAGACAATGGAGAAGAAAAATTATTAAACAGTATTTCAGCACTATCTATAGTAAATGTAAATTATTTAAGAAATTGTTACTGATAATAAGTACATTATTGAACATTTCTCAGCCATAAAGAAACAACAAAATCCTGCCATTTGTAGCAAAAAAAAATGTTAGAACAGAAGGACAGACTATTAATTGAAATAAACCAGAAACACAAAGAGAAATATGTTGTTCTTGTACAAAAACCTGAAGAAGTCAGATTGTAGAGCACTGGGGATTAGGAAGAGGAGAAGAAGGAAGGCTAGAGGTTGGTTAAGGGGTATTGGAAGGCAGACAGAAGTAATGGTTCATAGTGATCCACAGCATAGTGAACTAAACAACAGAATGTTATGAAGAATTATAAGAGAGGCTCAAATGCTAAAGTATTAAAAAGTCAGACCAATAAGGAGGCTCAAAGTGTGTCATATAGATAGTAACATGGTTTTATCAGTGCGTACTGCATACATGTGTTAAACTATCACACTGTACCCATATATATGCATCTATTTATAATTATTAAGTGTTAATAAAGTAAATTAACATTTGAAAGTATTCAAATGAAGCAGGGAAATGCATTTCAGGATTGTCAGAAAGATGGCAACTGAGTGAGATGGTCCAGTGATCATCTCCTCTGCAGACACCAATTTAAACAGTGTGCACAGGTTCCCAGGAGGTCATGGAAAGTCCCAATGTTGCTGGTCCATAAAAGAAACAGTGAAGGAAGCAGAAAGAAAAGAGTTGCCTGTGGTGCCCCCTCCCTCTCCTCCAAGAAGTTGAGCAGAAGACACCTCCCACTTGGGAAAGAGAATTAAATCTAGACTGTAGACTTGAAACCCAATGCCAATCAGGGTCCCATGACCCCTGGTCTCAGGCCTATATCCTCAAACTCAGCATCTGGCCCCTCCCTAGCATAGTAACTAAGGGACCGCGTGCACCAGTCCACTCTCAACCTCAGACAGAAGAGCAGCAAGAGCATCCCATCGACTGAGGTGCAGAGAAGGAATGTGAGGATAAAACTATTTCTTAGAGCTCAGTGCCTGAACCAAAACACTGAGACCTGTTACATGACAGGGCCAAAATGTCGCTATCTCCCAGACCAAACTTTATAGATGGAACCTTGAGGCATGCCTGGCACTGGGAAGGGACCTACTTTTTGGTGAGACTGACTTCCTTGATATATGACCACAAACCAAACACAAAGAAGTAAAAGTGAGTGCCAAGCCACTGCATAGGAGCATAGGACTAGTTCACCATGAAGAAGCCGAGGAGTAAGCAGAAATCTTTAACAGTGACTGACCCTGGGCCAGTAGCCAGAGAAGAGGTATCAGTGTTCATTGTGGCTCCAAGGGTAAGCTGTCAAGGATAGACTATCACTCTTAGGCACTCTCAGTTTGTTCTTAGCAAGACAGCATCCACAGACTTAGGATAAACCAGGTTTGAGGTGCCATCTAGTGCTTAAGTAGCAGAAATGACCATAGACTCAAAAAAAAGCCTACAATTTCTGAATTGACAAAATCAGACAGTGAAAAGTTTTACAAGGTGCTTAACCCTTCATTGAAGATACTGTGATACACCAACAAGCACCAGGGACTTTCCAGGAACCAGTACTCCACTTCCTGAACAAAAATAAGACTCTAGAAATTACTACATAATAACTCAGGCCTGAAAATCTACATACCAAAACTTCAAAACAGCTAATTTAGAGAAACTCAATGGACTTTAGGAGAACAAATAACCCAATAGAATAATGGAATAATTTAAACGGAGTTATTTTTTAATCAAGGACAACAGCAAAGTCTTTATTGATTTTGTTGTTGTTGTTTATATACAGGCTGAGAAATTGCTCAAAATCTACTGACTTCTGCCTCCTGAGTGCTGGGAGAATAGATGTGAAGCACACCACCACATGCAGCCTACAAAGGTTCCTGAACTGCTGAAATTTATACTAAACAAACTTTAAAACATGATAGAAAATGTAAAACAGATCAAACAGGAAACAAAATGAGGAAGTCTTAAGACAAGACATGCGACTTGAAAATACATGATCGGGTGGAAAAGAAAAATAAGAGAAGGAAAGAATGCATATGGAATCTCTGAGACAGCATGAGAAGAGCAAAATTTAGTCTCGAAGTCAAGAGAGGCAAGAATATCAAAAGGGTAGAAAGTTATTCCAAAGGAAGATGAGGTGGCAAAGAGAGAACTGGCTCAATGTGTTTGATGTTCTTAAACAGAACCCAGGTTCATTTCCCAGCACCGGCAAGGCTGCTCACAACAGTCTTTGAACTTCAGTTTCAGAGGATCCAATGTCCTCTTCTGGCCTCCTCATCAAGGCACACACAAGGTGCCCAGATATACATGGAAGCAAAACATCCATATACATAAAATAGAAATAATTTTTAAAAAAGAGTCCCAGAGTGGTGGCATGCACCTTTAATCCCGACACTCAGGAGGCAGAGGCAGGAAGATCTCTGTGAGTTCCAAGCTAACCAAAGCTACACAAACAAATCAAGAAGAGAAAAGGGGATTTTCAAGACAAACATACAATGAACCATACAGGAAGGTCAAATCTCACCAGGTAGGTTCAACTCAACTGAATCTATCTCAAGATATTTTATAATCCAGTCCCAAAGACAAATGATTTTAAAAAGTGCTACCAATGAAAGAAGAAAAATAACATTTAAAGGTAACCAGTTCACATAAGATTAGAGTTATTGGCAGAAAGTAAAGACAAAGAGAGAATAGACATAGATTTTCATGCTAATAAACAACAAAAGCTTCACAAGCTCAGAATACTATTACCAAGTGAATTTATTCTACAAATAAAGAATAAAATTTCCTATACAGTAAAGGCCAAGCATATTTAAGGCCGTCAGACTTGTCCTCTATGAATTGTTAGAGACTACTTCAGACAAATAAAAACTAATGAGCAAGAAGAAAATATTAAG